GAATAGCAAGAATGGTTTATTTAACATTCGACAACTTGTTTTTACAGTTTTCCACATTAACAGATTATAGGAGAAGCCTATATGATCATCTCAGTAAATGCAAAATCAAAAAACATTGCATTAAGCTTAACACCTAGTCATGATTTTAAAATAAAAGGACAAACAGACCTCTTAGCAAACAGAATAGAAGGAAGCATCATTTAGCTAAACATTTAGCTACAAGCACCATCTTCTCATGCAAGGGTAGTGTCAGGGTTAAGCTTGTGGACTCAGACATTAGAAAGTTAGCTTCTATCATTATTTTTTAAAGTTGGGCTTATTGAGGAACAATTTACATAGTAAATAACTTACATAGTAAAATTAGCCCATTTTTGTGTATGATTCCATGAGTTTTTTGTAATGCAGCCCACTCCAGTATTCTTGTCTGGAGAATCCCATAGACAGAGGAGCCTGGCAGGCTACAGTCCATAGGGTCACAAAGCGTCAGACACAACTGAGCACATATTGAATGACTGACAGTTGTGTAACCACTACCACAATTAAGATATAGAACGTTTCCAACAGCCCCAGAAGTTTCCCATCTCCAGTCAGCAGTAACTATTGATCTGTTTTTTATTCCTATAGTTGTGCCTTCTCCAGTACCACACATTATATAGCCATTTGATTCTGGCTTCTTTTGCTTAGCATCATGCTTTTGAAACTTACCAGGTTGTGTGTTTCAGTAATTTATTCTGCTGAGAAAATATGAGAACCATAGGAGAGTTAAGCAGGTCTATAGCTAGGGCAGATCTAGGTTTTTGTGAGGCATAAAGCTTATGCAGTGTGGCGGGGTGAGGCTTCTTAGGAAAAGAATACAAAATTACAGATACAAAATAAGATATGAAAGAAATTGTTATAACACTACTGTTATAAACAGAAGAATTCTGAAAAGTTTTATTTTATTCATTTTCATTAGATAAGAAAAAACTGTATTTTTTTTTAACTGTAAAATGCTTTGTCTAATATATTCCTATATGAGAGACTTTCCATTTTGAACACACAAAACGAGAACCTAATTTTCAGCTTACAGTTTTACATTTTTGATGATTAGAAGAATTTTCCACTGACTAGTTTCTGGTTTCATTCATCCCAAATCTTCTTTCTCCTCCACTTCCTGCATTGTTCCAAGGAAGGAGGCTACAAGTGTGTTTGTGTTACAATACACAACTTCTCGCACTGCATACTTTGTGTCAGATGTCTGGTAAGTTGGCATAGGGTGGTAGGAATATTCCTGGAAACATTCCTACACCAGGACAGCTAGCAGTAGTTTAACTATAGGCTTTATGATTATGAACCTTATTATAAGGTTATAATATTTCATTAAACTCAGAGTCTGTCCAATCATCTCCCTCTAATTAGATCCCCAGAATGCTCACTCCAGCTCCAACATCACTCGGTAGGAGAGCGACAGAGATGAGTTCTGAGTGGAAATAGACAGTGGTCTATTGTACTTATTTTAATCCCCATATATCTTTCTTTTGCTAATTTTTAAAGAAAAATTAACTATGAGCCACTGCCAGTACTCTCCCTAGGGCCTTGAAGGAGTCCATGCAGGCAAATACTTAGAAGCTTACAGAAGTTGCTGAGAAATTGGATTTCTGATACTTCTCATAAAGAGGACAAAGACAGGGATTGAAGGAAAAAGATATGTGCAACTTTTAATTTTAGCTTTTTGCTCTTTTCGCCTGGGGTTGAAAAAGAACAGTGTACTTGACTCCACTTCTGGAAGAATTTAACGAATCCCATCTGGTCGTGTCCTTTTTTCTTTTTTTTTTTGCTGCAGACCCTCCGGGAGCTGGAAACAAGACGGCACCGTCTTGGTGAGTCCACGCCGTGGGCTGGATCAGCTGCTAGAGCTGAGTGGCCCAGTCCTGGCTTCAGTTCCTCAAATGCCGGCAGTCCTGGAGGGATCTAGCAGCTGGAGCCAGGCTGGCTAGATTGGGTCCCCATGCTGTTCGTGTCATACTTTCTTAATGGAAATCACAGAACTAGCATCTTGACTTCAGAAAAGCAGCTTTCTTTTTGGAACTAAAAAGCATCACTGGCTAAAGAAACAATTTATTCAACCTTTGTCTGATATTAATATCTGATGTATATAAATATGATGTTAATATAAGCTGATATTAATATAATTAATAGAGTATAATGTATTAATATAACCCCTGCTATTTTATCAATATATATTACATTTCACCTATCATTTTGCTTTTAGCTATACTGTTATATTTGAAATAAGTTTCTTATAAATAGCATATAGCTGCATGCATGCTCAGTCATGTCCAACTCTGCAACCCCGTGGACTATAGCCTGGCTGGCTCCTCTGTCCATGGAATATTCTAGGCAAGAATACTGGCGTGGGTTGCCATTTCCTACTCCAGGGGATCTTGACCCAGGAACTGAACCTGTATCTCCTGCATTGCAGTCAGATTCTTTACCCCTGAGCAATCTGGGAAGCCCCAGCATATAGTTAGGTCATGTTTTTTAATCCGCTTTGTCAGTCTCTGTCTTTAAATTGGTGTGTTTAGATCATTTAAATTTATATAATTATTGATATGTTGGGATTCAAATCTGTTATTTTATTTCATCTTTTCTGTTTATTTGCTATTTCTTGTTTATCTTCCCTGCCTTCCTGTGAGTTACTTGAACTTTTTAGAATTCTGTTTTGATTTGTCTTAATATTTTTGAGTGTACCTCTTTGTATAGCTTTTTTAGTGGTTGCTAAAACACTAGTGTGGGGGTTGGCCTCATCACCACGGGGCAGTTTGGAGAGTCCTGATTCTCTCCTAGGCTTTCTCTGGCCCTCGTGGGAAAGAGGTGCCCTTTGTTACTACCAGGAGGAGGCGAAAGTCCAGGCTCACAGCGTGTCCTCTGAACTGCACTGGAGGTGGTGGGGCTACAGAACAGGGGTTTCCCACCACCCTTCGGGGATGAAAATCTCTTCAGGAGTTCAGTCCCTACTTGACCACTTCTGACCACCACCCTGCTGGAAGGTGGAAGAGAAGTCAGGATGCCTCATTATGGCCAGACAAAGGTGGAAGCTTTGGCTCCCCACTCAGCCTTTGCTGGTGTAGGCAGGGTCACAGCTTTTCTGTTGTGTTTGGCTGGAATCAAGTAGTTGTTATCTAAAGGTTTTCAGTCTTGGTAGGCTGTCCTTTTCCTGGTCATTTTGTTAAATATAGCATACATTTGTTTGCTGGGGCTTTTTTTTTTTCTGCTCTCACTTAGCATTTCCAAGTTACTAGCTTCTTTAGCTCCAAGTCTGAGATAATGAGCTAAAAGAAAACCTACTGAGCTCACCACTGTGTTGTTCCCGTGGGCCTCCAGATCCCTAGCCCGTCTGACTTCTTCTCTCCACCTTTCAGAGATTTCCTCTGTTTGTTTTATGTATAATGTTCAGGGTTTTTTGCTGTAACTTAACAGGAGGAATGGGGAAAATATGACTACTACTGCTTTCTTCCCAGAAACAGTTCTATAAATACTTTTAATGCCAACTTAATCATTCATTTAAAAAGCCCTGTTAATCTTCTACCTGCTACTGCTTCATTGGGTAGAGTCCTTTTTTTCACTCTACACAGTTATTAGGCAAGCTTCTCCTGAAAAACAGAAGCAATAGGGAAATAAATATTTTTGCTACATATCTATCTATATTTATTGTTCTCTCTCTTTGTCTCTCTGTCGTGTGTGTGTGTGTGTGTGTGTTTGTGTGTAAAGGAGTTAGCTCATGCAGTTATGGAGGCTGTCAAGCCCCAAGATCAGCAGTGTGGACGACAAGCTGGCCATCCTGGATAGCCAACTGTTTAGTTGCAATTCTAGTCAGAAGGCTTTGAGAGACAGGAGAGCTGATGGTATAGTTCCAGCTCATTGGCCTGCAGGCTCCAGATCCAGGAAGAGCCAAATGTTTCAAGTCCAAAGGCAGAACAAATTATCTTACTCAGGGTGGGTCATACTTTTAGTTCTATCCCAGCCATACCTGATTGGCTATACCCTTCCACAGTAGGAGGGCAGTCTGCTTTATTCCAGTCCACCCATTCAGTGTTATCTCAACCAGAAACACCTACAGAGAAACATCTAGAGTAATGTTTGACCAAGTGTCTGGACCACCCTGTGGCCCAGTCAAGTTGATTCATAAAACTAACCATCTCAGGACTACCAGACTAGTTAATCTGTACCTAAATATGAATTCTGACCAGTATTACTCAAGACTCACATTTTGGGCTTGGAGATATACAGAAAAACTCAAAGGGAGTGAGTGAAGTCTTTCAAAGATTCAAAAATGTGTTCAGAGAGAACAGCCACTAAAGACAGGATAGCCTTATGGGAAGTAAGAAAACTTATGGTTGCCATGTTTCCTTAAAACAGCTTTTTAAACAGAAAAATTGTTAAAAACTTTTATTATTAAAAACTTTTTTCCTGATTCTTAGGATAAGAATTTACTTTTTCCAGTGTTGAAAGATTTTATAAATTTAAAATAAGAATTCCTCATGGTGTATAATCCTTTTGTCACGTTCTCTTTCATTACCGCTGGGGCCAACACACAGGTGTTGAGAGCTGGCTGGGTCTCAGTACAGGCAGCATCGCTTATGGGGGAAGACGTTGGACTCAGAGAGATCTGGGTCCCCAGGTGTGTGACCTAGGGCAAATTACTTTATCCCTCCAAGCAACAGCTTTTCCATCTGAAAATGGAGAGTTCAATCATGGAACTCAGTGCGTGTTCCTTAATTAAACAGTCTCAGTTTTAGACATCTGAATAATCTTCATTTGTGTAGTTTTATAAATAACACTGCCACCTTGATTCTTCAATCACCATCTTCATTTTGGATCATTTTCTCAAATTCAGCTTCTTAGAGGTGAAATTATGGAGTCAAGGGACAGAACCTTCTGAAAAGATGGTACCAAGATTATGCTAGAAATGGGAGAAAGAGAGAGGCACTTTTCTAATTTTTAATCTTTATGTTTCCTAGGGGCATCAGATGGTGAAGGAGGAGGAGACACGGAAATGGCGCAGCAGGACACAGCTCCAGGTCCTGCCCTGTCCAGGAAAATCAAACCGGTGAGAGTCACAGTTGTTGGCTCTGAAATCAGCCTCTTCTTCCCTTCTGCAGCGTTCCCTCTGTTACAGTGCCAGTTGTGGGTGGGCTTTGAAGGACGCTTGTACCTTCTCTGCCTTTGAAAGAGTCAGGCTTCATTAATTACAGACCAGCAAGGTCTGTTTTCCCTATAATTTGTTTGTTTGTTTGTTTGTTTATAAGAGAAATGTATTATACAATAATGATATCTCAGATTCTTGTAGTATATTTTTACCAAAGACCACGCCTTATTCTTTTGGGTATGGTTCCTAGGAGGAGACAAATAGCATAAATATAGGCAAGATGAGCCCCACATCAATGCATGATCATAGGGCCAAACCATGCTGTGAGGAGGCTCTCAGGGCCTCATGACTGCCTAGCATCATGTCTGTTGTGTGAATTCTTATCAGAGATTCTCCACCTTCGTATTACCACAAGTGGGAATCTGATAGACTTTGCTTCTTGGACTTATGGTCTTTTATTGCTTTTTCATTCTTTTTATTGACCACTCACATCCATTTGCAGCTTTTTCACCTTATGTGTCCCTCCAACCGAATTGGTAATCATGTGTGATTTTTAAAGGACTACCTACTGTCAGTCCAAAGTCACCATCTCCTTCTCAGGAATGACTTGTGATGTTATTCATTGTTGTGTATTCACTAAATTATATCCTACTCTTTGCGACCCTCTGGACTGTAGCCCGCCAGGCCCCTCTGTTCTTGGGACTTCCCAGGCAAGAATACTGGAGTGGGTTGCTCTTTCCTTCTCTGGGAGATCTTCCCAACCCAGGGATCAAACCCGAGTTTCCTGCTTTGGGAGGCAGATTCTTTACCACTGAGCCACCAGGGAAGCCCATTCTTATTGTAGGTGGCCCTAAACTCATTCCACTAGAGGGTGACTCTACCCAAAGTTTGTGACCAGGCTTAGGATAATTGTGGGAAGCAGTTTTTGCATTGTGATTACCTGCAAGCTGTGATTCCTTGGGCAAGTTAAACTCTCTGTGCCTCATCTCTCTATTGGTAAAATGGTGTTAATTGTATTTTCTTCACAGAGTTGCTCTGGGGATTAAATGATTAATATTTATTAAGCTCTTTAAATAGTGGTTGGCAGAGAGTAAGCACTGAAGTGATAAATATTATAGTGAAATATACTTCAGGTCTTTTATTTTTTTCTTTGTGGGGTGGGGGATGCAGAAATATTTACATAGTTAATGTATAATCCATCTTGGTTTTCTCTCCAGCCATTAAATATTTAACTCCAAGGTCCTATAAATTTCAGTTTTAATCATTCTTTCTAAGACCTACAGGTTAACATCTTTAGCTTTTCAATTGATCTCACCAAGATGGGGTTTGATTTTTATCTTAACTTACTCCACTGACCACACCATAGTCGTGCCTTCTTTAACCTCTGCCTCTAATAAGTGCCTCCCTGCAGAACTTGTTTCCCAGTATCCTTTGTAGCCATTGACTTTCTTCTTCCTTACTTTCTCCCGTGGTTTTCTTTTTGATTGCACCTCACTTTTTCTGGGCTCTTTGGTGAAAGAATAAATTTGCATTAATAAACTCACTCAGGTTTACTGTCTTTGTTTACTTGTTTACTGAATCTTTACTGTCTTTTTATTGGCAGAGCCTTCGCCTTGCTGCATATCCACCCATTTTTTACCTTCTTCCTCCTTGAGTCTTCTTTTCCCACGATCAAGTTAGGTAAATGACAGGAACCACAGGAAGAAAAGAGAAAAATTGAGGAAGAAAAAGTTAAACACATTCTTAATTGCCATGAGCCTTCACCTATCTTTCAGCAACCTTAGTTTCAACACTAATAAAACAATTGGTTGAGCGCTCAGCACAGGCGCTGTGTAAGGTCATGACTCACAATCATCACAGCTGCCCTGGGAGGGCAGGGAGATCCCATTTGACAGAGAACCTGAAGCTCAGAGTGAGGGGTACCAGGAGTCATGACCCACTTGACTGCCTTCAAGGCACCCCTGAGGATGACACTGCTTCCAGTTCCCTTTCCACCTGTCCTTCCTCATTCGGCTTGGAAAAATTAGATTTACTGTGTCATCAAGTGCTTTGTTGGTCACATACCATTGGTATTTTCTGCTAAGGGAAAAAAAAAATCACAAAAAGTTAAGATTTTACTGTTCACTTTAACCTCTTTCAACCTGCTCTGATTTCTTTTGCTAACAAATTGCTTTAAAGAATCAAGGTCCTAGGTAGACACAGTGCCCTAATCACTCTCCCAGGCCTGTCTTTACTGCCCTGGTCAGAATTCACACAGGGATCTCCTTGTGCCCTCTGCCTCATTGAAGTGTTATCCATCTCACTCCCTGGTCTCCCCACCAGGCTGTGCACCTCTGTTCATCTCCACTGCCCCTGGCACAGAACCTTCACTGAACTGACACTCATTTGTGAAAAGGAGGCATGAATGACTAGCCTGGAATCCCAGTTTTCTTACCGCTCTTCCCATCTCAACCCTCCATGTCCCAGCTGTGAGGCATCAGCTCTCTGACCCTTGTCCTGTCATCAGTTCCTCCTTGAAGGGTCCCCGGCCTTGATATTAGAGCTGGGAATCTTCCCTCTTCCGGCCCTAATACCGCACAGTCCCTCGAGCTCCTCTGTGGCCTCCCCGTCCTGTCTCCTGATGCTCTGCTCCCTCTGGAACTCATCTCACCACCCCAAGGATCACCTTTTCGTCAGGCTGACTGTGCTTTCTTGAGTCCTTCTCCAGTTGTTTATGCACATAAAGGCGGAGTCTCCAACTAGTCCATAAGCACCTTAGGGACCAGCATTTCATTTGTGTCCACTGTGGTAACCTAGCTCAGCCATAGGTGCATTTGGCACATATAACCAAGTATTTGTTTTCTAACAGTAATTATACTTTTTTTTGCTGGATAAAAAAGAAAAAAGAAATTATTTTTTGCTATATTTAAGTTTTGAATTTTTTTTTTCAAATTCGCTTAATTGTTTGCTGTTCTTTAAGGTTTTTTCTGTGTTTGTTTTGTTTTTTTAAACTTGCATAGCAGCTGCCTGGCCTTATGCTGCTAGCTGTAATGTGCGTTTAGTCTTTAACATCACCAGGTGAGAGTATGTGTCCAGTTGGATGGCGTTTCCTCCTTTGCCATAGCTGGGCCTGCATTTCTCTTACTGGGTCTACATCTCCCATCTGTCCAGTTTTTCAAGCAGCAGATTTATAACTTTATAAAAGTTTTTTACCCTTACAACTACATCATCTCTAGCAACCATTTTACATCTGAATAATCATCCTTGGCCTCCTTAATAATGTGAGTATAAAGATTTGCCAAGAGTTCTTTTTTTTTTTTTTTTTTTCCAAATACTGCTTCCAAAATAAATCATGAACTCCCCTACTTCTAGAGATTGCATCACCCTCTTTCCTCCTAAACATAAGTCATTTCAGAGCCTGCCCTAGTGACTTTGTAATTATGGTTCCCAGAATGTAATCCCTTATGAGGGATTTCGTGACTTTTCATTGATGCCTCCATGATGTCAGTAGCCTTTTAATGGTTCCATGACCCATCCTCTCCCCCCTCAGAGACCACACTGAACTTCTTTTTTCTTGAACTAGCTTTTTGTTTATCTCCTTGGATCATAAAAGAATCTTCAGCAGGAGTACTTATCACTTTCTCCTCTTACTTACCTTTCTCTGCAGCATTTTTTTACTAATTATTTTCACAGTGATCATTTCATATCTCTCCTGCTCTTTAACTTCAGTATTATTCTTGATGAAGAAAAAAGAGGACTGTGTCCTGTCCACTCTCTGATTTACCTTCTTCCTTTCCATATGGTGTCTCATTTCTGTCTCTCTTAGTAGTAATCTCTCATTGCATAACAAATTACCTCCAAGGTTAGTAGCTTAAGACAGAAAAGATTCCTAATCTAAGCTTCTGTTACCTGTATCTCACCAGTCGTCAGTCAGGTCATGAGCTGAGGGTTAGTGGCTCCACTGTGAAGAATCCTCCTCAAAACTCATTCAGGCGGCTGTTGGCAGGCCTCACTTCCTTATCTTCCATCAGAGGGCAGACAGACTAAAAACCACAGTCACAGAAAACTAACCAATCTAATCACATGGACTATAGCCTTGTCTAACTCAATGAAACTATGAGCCATGCCATGTAGGGCCACCCAAGATGGACAGGTCATGGTGGAGAGTTCTGACAAAATGTGGTCCACTGGACCACTGGCAAACCACTTCAGTATTCTTGCCTTGAGAACCCCATGAACAGTATGAAAAGGCAAAAAATTAGGATACTGAACGATGAACTCCCCAGGTCAGTAGGTGCCCAATATCATACTGGAGATCAGTGGAGAAATAACTCCAGAAAGAATGAAGGGATGGAGCCAAAGCAAAAACAACACCCCGTTGTGGATGTGACTGGTGATGGAAGCAAGGTCCGATGCTGTAAAGAACAATATTGCATAGAACCTGGAATGTTAGGTCCCTGAATCAAGGCAAATTGGAAGTGGTCAAACAGGAGATGGCAAGAGTGAATGTTGACACTTTAGGAATCAGCGAACTAAAGTGGACTGGAATGGGTGAATTTAACTCAAATGACCATTATATCTACTACTGTGGGCAAGAATCCCTTAGAGGAAATGAAGTAGCCATCAGAGTCAACAAAAAAGTCTGAAATGCAGTACTTGGATGCAATCTCAAAAACGACAGAATCACAGTAATCCAAGTCTATGCCCCAACCAGTAATGCTGAAGAAGCTGAAGTTGAGTGGCTCTGTGAAGACCTACAAGACCTTTTAGAACTAACACCCAAAGAAGATGTCCTTTTCATTATAGGGGACTGGAATGAAAAAGTAGGAAGTCAAGAAACACCTGGAGTAACAGGCAAATTTGGCCTTGGAGTACAGAATGAAGCAGGGCAAAGGCTAAGAGATTTTGCCAAGGGAACGCACTGGTCATAGCAAACACCCTCTTCCAACAACACAAGAGAAGACTCTACACATGGACATCAC